CCAAGGCCCTCGTCTCCCCTCACCCCCGTCTCTGTCTCTGCCCCAGGCCCCGGAGCACCTCCTGCCCCACATGGCTGAGCTGAAGAAGGAGCTGCTGGCCCTGCGTGCCCAGCTGGGCTACAAGAGCCAGGCGCTGGCCAGCCTGCAGCAGCGCCAGGGCTCCCCAGGGACCGACGCACAAGGTGAGATCCCCTCCATGGCTCCAGACGGACAGGGGGACGCCCCCACCCCCGCCTGAGGACCCTTCCCAGGGTCTGCAAGGGGCACCCTCCTGGGGCACGAGCCGGCCTGAGGGTCGGCAGGACCATGGCATCCACCCAGCAGCTCAGCACCCCCCCCCCTACAAAGCCATAACTCCTCCAGGCCTCACTGATGTCTCTTCCCCCAGCCCTGGTGCAGGCCCTGCGGGACCACGACCGGGAGCAGGCCAGAGCCCTGGGGCCGCGGATCCGGCTGGTGACGAAGCAGTGCAGGCAACGCATCGAGCGCTGGCCCGAGGGGCAGGCCGCCATTGACGCCTGGTGAGGAGGCCCCACCCACCTGGTTTATGGGATGTTTTGTTCTCCAGAGGGGGGAGGCTCTGCCCATCCTGTGCTGGGGGTCGGTTCTCCCCTGCCTGGGGTGGGGGCTGTGAGGAAGAAGGGGGCTGGCCCAAGTGGTGGGTGCACAGGAGGGACTGATCGGGGAGTGTTGGGGGTTGGGGCGGGAAGGAAGGGGGTGGCCTGGTGCCTCTGGAGAATGGGCGTACCTAGGGAGAGGCCGGGGGGCATGTGCCATGAGGAAGGATGTTGGAGGACAGCGTGTGTGCGTGTGGGGGGTAAGGGTGGATGTGGGGGTGTCTATGCTGGGGAGGAGCTGTGGGGGGCGGGGCCGGAAGGGGCCATCTCACTGCTCCCTGCTCTCTTCCCCTCCCTGTCTGCAGGTGGGAGCAGCCAGGGCAGTTTGCCCTGCCTGCGGAGCACCGCCTGGGCCTCACCTTGCAGCAGTGGCTGGAGCCCTCAAGACCCTCCAGCGGCAGCAGCAGCACAGCTGGGCCTGATGGCCCCGTCCTGCCTGGGAGGGGCTAGGGGAGCCCCGCCCCCAAAGGGGTGCAGTTGTAAGTAGCCACACCCATGTTAGGGAAGGAGTGCGGGTGGCACACGCCTCTATGGGGTGGAGTATTTGGGGGCCTAGCCCAGTCCAGCTGTCCCCTCTTGCACAAGGTGGGGGGTCAGTATTAAGGGGGTGACCAGATGCTGGCAGTGGGAGGGTTGGTGGGGCTGAGCGGAGGTGGGGGAGCGGCTGTCAGGTGTGGGGGGGGATCCCAGATGGGTTTTGTGGCGTTCTGTAATTCACAATGTTCTGAATAAACTGACTAAATTCACATTCAGGTCCGTGGCAGGGACTGGGACACAGGGCCTTTCCCCTCTGGGGTGTGCCAGCTCCCCTCTGCTCCAGGGCAGGGACTGGGACATGGGGCCTTTCCCCTCTGGGGTGTGCCAGCTCCCATCTGCCCCAGGGCAGGGACTGGGACACGGGGCCTTTCCCCTCTGGGGTGCGCCAGCTCCC